ATGCTAGAAGGTTGAACGTGGAAAGGGTTGGGAGTGGGACAGAAAATTACCTTCCAGAGTTCCTTTTTTGCTTCAGATTCTTCCGAGAACATAAAGTCTGATCCATTGTGTTTAGAAGCAATCTGCTGAACAATTTGAGTGCATATGCCTCTAAATGAGAGAGAAAAGGAAAACCAAAATTAGAAATGATTAGGAGAAACTAGAAGACAATGATTCTTGCTTTATGTGTCCAGTGGCAAGACCGAGCATGAGAATCTTGTGATCAGATGAAATAGAAGATACAGGGGAGTGAATATGCTTTTTTTAACAACTGTGGATATTATTTACAAAGAGTGAAACTGCAACAAGAGACGTATAATCTTAGATTGCTTGAAAAACCACTAGGAAAGTACAAGAAATATGTTGAGGCATTACCTGTCCCTATAAATTCGAACATCAGAGTTGGAGCTTCAGTCAAGTTTTTCCCGTTTGCCATATTAAGAGCCCTGATTTGAACCTCGTCAAGGAGCTCCATTCTCGACACCTGATGGGGATACAGGTATGGCTAAGAAGATTCTAACAAAATTTAAATCATATCATTCAGAAGCAGAAGTCTAACCTGTATTCCAGTCTGCATAGTGGCAATGGCCACGTCTGCAGCATCCTTAACTGTAGGGAAATTGCATATTGCCACCTGAAAATATGACATATATATGCTTTACATTTCGTTTATTTTACTCCGCTCATTTAAGAGTAGAGAAATAAAAATTAAGCAAAGAAACAAGTTCAGCCAAAGTAGGGATACTTGACAGTCCAATCAGTGTATATGATTTCACTGGCAAGGGATAAAAATTAGCTAACATTAATCTGCTTCGAAACATTTGAACCAAGTTTCGACCTTCAGGGAGAAACTAAATCACAAAGCAAAGGAGCATGAATATTTTTCTGCTTGGCGGAAAAATTGATATAGAACTCATACAATAAAGAAGGGAAACCTACTATAAGGAATAAGGAAGAAGTCAACATACCACTGAATGCTGCGGGATTCTCTGAAGCCGGAGGGTAACCTCAGTTATGACCCCCAAAGTCCCCTCACTCCCAATAATCAAGCGGGTCAAATCGTATCTGAGACACCATTCAGACAAGTATCAAACATTAACTCAATGGGTAAAACTAGTCTTCTTGATGGTTTCGTCAGTGGAAACAACATCAAAACATCAAAGAGAGAAGAAAAGACAGTGCAACAAGATGCTTAGGGATGCAAAACTATATCAGCATATTTGGAAGAATACATTTTTTCAGCCACATGAACTGAGCTTTCAATGTTTTTGGACAACAGGAAAAAAAAAAGTTCAGAAGATGTTCTTCAAAAATGCTAAAGAGAAATATATTAAATTTTGTTCCAAACTTGCAATTAGCAAAGAACATCACATAAACCAGTCGATCTGAAACTATTTTCTTATAGTTCTACCTGGTGACATGATAGATAATCAAACAACTGGAGACATACCATTCAATTTTTATCTATAGTTATCATTTCCGAGAAAAAGAAATACTAGTAACAAATAACAAAGAAAACAGTTGAAGAGTGAAGACAAACCCGGCAGCACTCTTTCTAGCACGTGAAGCTGTCTTCACAACATCTCCATTAGGAAGAACCACCTGAGATGATCATAACATAAACAAAGTAGAACTGGACGATAAGACATGAATCAGTTGAAGAAATAACAAACCTTAAGGCTTATAACATTGTCACGCATGGTTCCATACCTACAAGCTAGTATCAGCATTATTATAGCCAACAAGATTAAAGCACCCCCACAATTTTCAGGAAGATGGGTAAGAACCTCAAGCGAATTGTCAGGGGAACTACCTTACAGCTAAGGAACCAGAGCAACGTGTAGCACACATGCCTCCTATGGTTGCACCAGGTCCTGCACAAGACGTTTTGATATCGAATTGCTGAACGGAACCCAGGAATGTGGTATTTCAAGTTTATACTATTTCAAGAGTCAATTTAACACAATGCTCAAGATGTTGAATGATAGAGAGACTGCAAATAAAAAAAATTCTCTTAGGCTAATTGACATTCACAAAAAATAAGATCAGTCAATCTGAAATACGTTCCAGGTATCAACAAAAGACAAACATGAAAGCTATGATCTGAGAGCTAGGGCACTATCTCAATGTTGCCTAACCTGGATCAAGAGGAAAGAATAGACCGTATTGTTCCAAATATTCATTTAGCTCCAGCCAACCAATTCCAGGCTCAACAACAACATCCATATCCTCCACATGTAATGCTTTCACCCTCTACAGTTTGAAAGAAGTGTGAGGAAGAGAGGCATAATTTCACTAACATTTGTATGTGGAGCATAAGTGATGCACATTCTTAATGAAATTCAAGGACGGTGATGTCAGACATAAAAGATTAGCCATACCTTCATCGATGACATGTCAATGCATACGCCTCCATTTGGAGCCAGGGTATGACCCTCAATCGATGTAGCCCCACCATATGGTACAATAGGAACCTAAAAAAATAGAATATATTGCCAGAATTAATTCTTGCTTAAGAGCAGAGAATAGCTTCATTCAAGCAAAAAAATCAGGGTAGTATAAGTCCAAAAGATCAATCCACCAGGAAGCTTAGATATCTCAATTGATAGAGCATGTTGGCCTAGACTAGAATTGAAATGACTGAGCAGTAAATCTTCTACCAGTGAAATTTACAAACCTTATATTCATTGCATGATTTAAGAATCTTGGAGACTTCTTCTTCGGACCTAAACAATATTTACAAGGATGATGATGAACGAATTTCTTATGTCTTAAAATTTCAACAATGAAGTCAAAAGATTAAACAGAAACAGATTTAAGACACTCAGTTGTCACACTCTTACACAATTCTCAACTACTGATATTAGTCTAGATGGTAGAAACCATTGTGCCAATAAGTAGACTCACCTCGGGAAAACGACAACATCAGGAATGTTCACTGACTTGTGGAAACTATTCTGGGGCTTCCCATGGAAGAACCTCTCATCGTAGTCCGTTGTCAAGTTATCCTTAAACAGAAGGAAACACATAGGCAGCTAAATTCAGAATCAAAACCATCTCTCTTGATCAATAACTTCTCCACAGTCGAAAAAACCAGAAATTTCCAGATAAATCAGAGCCAATGACTAGTTCAAAATCAGGAATAAACAAACCAAAAAAATTTTTGCATCACCTCAAGGATTGTTTTCAATTCATCAATAAGCTCCTTAGGAACTGGTTTGTATTCTCCTTTAACTACAGGTTCAGTGCTATCTTTTCCTCCAATAGTTATACCTCTGCAGAGAGAAAAATGAATCATTATTGAAGACTTGAAATTAAATAAAGGAAAAAAATAAAATTCACGAACCTAGAATCCAAAGCTGATGATTCGCTGATAGAAGGATACGACTGGTTCAGTAACGCGAAAGAGGTGGCGGAGGCGGCAATAGCCAACGGAAGAAGAGAGCTCGTCAACCAATTTGGGAGCCTCCGACGACCCTTTTCCGGCGAGATGACGGTCGATTCACCGGTTGCTTTGGCCGTCGAGTGGAGCTGACGACTCGTAGGCCGGAGAAAGGCGGAGACGGTTCTAGAGGAGAGGCGAGAGCGAGTTAACCATAAAGAGAAAGCCATGGATAGTGAATTTCACGGCCGGAGATTGAGACTGAAACTCACAAATGGAGTAGTTTCATTTCATTCATCTCTTTCTTCGGCATCATTGAAGTTCGTGCGTGTGCACACTGTCACACGTACGAATAAACTTTATCCGATGTTGATGACACAAATCGGTACAGAAAATGGTAAATCAATATGAAAAAAAATTAAAATCATTTAATTGACGATACAAAAAAAAACTAATGAAACATAGCAAATACGTTAAAAACTCGATAAACGAAATTTTGATATATTGAGTTTTAACTTATTTTCAATTTTAATAAAATATAGTAGTCATTTCGACATTTATAAATTGTAATTTTCGTGTATATTCGAATCGAACATTGAAACTAATTTCCCGCCACAACAAAAATTGAGATTTAAACAAAAAAGGTTTAAAGGAGGAGAGAGAGAGGTGAGAGATCAGAAAGCAAAAAGACGAAAAAAGTGTTAGAGATGGAAGAAGAGCTCAAGAGATTGAGCAAGAGCTTAGGAGGATTCTGCAATCATCTTCAAAGCAGCTGCGATGCCTTCAATCTCTCTCTCAATCGTCGTCCCATTCCTCTAGGTCTCTTTTTCCCCCTTTTTCCGATTTTTGTCATAAACCCTAATAATTTCACCTTCTTCTTGGGTTTTCTCGAATTTGGCAGATTCGGCTTCGTCTACTTTCATCAAGAGCTTGAATCGTCGAATCTCAACCACAGGCTCCGAGTTGAATTTCCTTGATTCCATGTCCTTCGGTACTGTCTCCTTCGAGGAGCTTCTGGGTCATTGTAATCAGATCTATAGAAATAATCAAGACGAAATTCTGCATCTTCAGGACCGACTTACAGACTTTGGCTATGTTCCTGGTACTGTACGCTTTTCCTTTTTCCGATTTTGAAAAGCTTAGA